CATTTAGATATGTGATGATTTTATTGAGTAACATATCCAAATAGGGTTGCTATGTTCATGAAATGGAAATATGAAGTATTATGCATCAAAGATTTGACACATCCTGTTGCTATATCCAGTCCAACATCAAGTCCAGTCAGATGAGTTTGAACAATGCTTGGCTGCAGAGCATGATTTTGTAATGACAGAAAATACTTTTCTGTAGAAAAAACTGCGTATCTACAAACTATTGCCAGATAAATGTCTGGATCTAACAATGTTATGCAATGCAATAAACAGTCTTAATATATGATCAGAGAGTAACTGTGTTTCCCCAATGCAAGCAGAGGAAATGGTATAGTGGACCATAGAGTAGAGGCGTATTCTGAACTTTGTCTCTGTTGATAAACAGCTCGAGGAGGGTGATCTGAAACATTCCCCCTGAAACTGGATAGACCCAGAGCTGACAGAACTAGGCCGTACTCTACTGAAGGTCAATATCCACGTATCTGTGTGTGTGTGTGTGTGTGTGTGTGTGTGTGTGTGTGTGTGTGTGTGTGTGTGTGTGTGTGTGTGTGTGTGTGTGTGTGTGTGTGTGTTGTGTGTGTGTGTGTGTGTGTGTGTGTGTGTGTGTGTGTGTGTGTGTGTGTCAGCAATGAAGCAATGAAGACTGTGGGCAGACGAGCTACTGGTTAGCCTTAACTAATGCAATGATCTACATGCAGCACTTTTTTATTAATCCAGAGAAAATATCAAAATGGTCCATCAGGGCTCTGATTCAGGAAAAGCTGAATTCGAAAAATATAATATGTCCAGAGCTGCATATAACCAACAATTGAATTATTGATTGAGTTGTTGGTCATTTTCTCAATTACATGTTTTATCTAATTGTCATAGGACATATCAAATTAATACATTTTATGTCAATGACTTTGTTTGATTTGTTGCAGCTTTATATTTGTTTCAGTTTGTTATAGATTCTTTGCACAGCCAAAGACTAAAATGAATAAATCACAAATCTTTCCCTTCTGTTATGAGATGTTGGTATAAAGCCACAACATACAGTACTGTATCAACTCTTTCTTTGGACACAGCAGGAGGGTAAACTAACCTAAATGTGCATTACTTCTATGTTGTGTTTTGAGGCAACATACATGTATATCTTTTGTGCATGCAACATGTTAATCTATGGACTGCAGGTCATAGTATTCCCATTGATCTATTGACTGTGCTGTTCTTACAGAAACCTTGTCAGTGCAGGTTTTTGGTGTGTGTGCCGAGGTTTGTGTAATAGCCAGACTAAAGCGGTCACTGCTGGAGAGTCTCGGGCAAAACACTGCTTTTATCTTTGCACCTTTGAACTGCAGCTTCTCTCACATAAACACTTACAGAACATACATGTATCTATTGTAAAATGCAAAATGTACTGCAGAACTGTACAGTATGACATCAAATTGTATTTTATATTACTTCAAATCACATGCATTTTTTTGTCTGTTTGGTTTGTTGGAAGTTGTATATATTCCTTGTTGTCCTTGTTGAGAAATGAAGACGACAAAAACATCAGGATTCTTTTTTTAAACCATTCAGTGTGAAAAGTGTGATATGCATGTGTCCCTCTGCCCTCACAGGGTATCATTGAGCGTCTGAATGCTGGGGAGGTGGTGATTGGCGACGGAGGCTTTGTGTTTGCTCTCGAGAAGAGAGGCTATGTGAAGGCCGGGCCATGGACTCCTGAGGCTACCGTCACACACCCTGAGGCTGTTTAGTCAAGCAGTACATACACATATTGTATCCAAAACTACATGGAGGGAAGGTGCACAGACCTAAAAGAACAATGTTTTGCCTCATAAATGACACATTTGTGTGTTTCCTTCAGTGCGGCAGCTGCACAGGGAGTTCCTGAGAGCAGGATCTAATGTCATGCAGACATTCACCTTCTACGCCAGTGATGACAAACTGGAGAACAGGGGTCAGAGCTTAAAAATCTCTGTGAGTACCGAGCCATAGCACCACTGTGCAAGTCTTGCAAATTCTAGTTTACTCCACGCTGATTTATGAATAAACATGATGTGATTTGCAAAGAGTGTGATCAATGGTCATCAACAGAATGCCTTAATCTTTCAGGGGACACAAATCAACGAGGCAGCCTGTGACCTGGCACGAGAAGTCGCCAGTGAAGGAGATGCAATGGTAGCTGGTGGAGTGTGTCAGACTCCTTCCTATCTGAGCTGCAAGAGTGAGATAGAAGTAAAGGCCATCTTCAAGAAACAGCTGGAGGTGTTCTTGAAGAAGAATGTGGATTTCCTGATTGCTGAGGTGGATTCATGTCATGTCATATCATAGATACTTCAATGAATGTGAAATATAATCAGTAGAGCAAATAATAATACCTCTGTGTTGTTTTTGTCCTTGCAGTACTTTGAGCATGTTGAGGAAGCAGAGTGGGCTGTGCAGGTGCTCAAGGCCAGTGGAAAGCCTGTGGCTGCTTGTATGTGCATCGGACCAGATGGAGACATGCACGGTGTCTCACCAGGAGAGTGTGCCGTCAGGCTGGTGAAGGCCGGTACGTTTTCAATTTACGACTTAGTTTCCCTACTTAAAGTCAGCTGTGTTATCTGATATTTCATAAAGCATTTCCTATTTTCTCCAGGCGCCCAGATTGTGGGAATCAACTGCCACTTTGACCCTGAAACCTGCGTGAAGACTGTGAAGTTGATGAAGGAGGGAGTGGAGAAGGCGCGGCTGAAGGCTCACTACATGGTGCAGCCTCTGGCATTCCACACCCCAGACTGCAGCTGTCAGGGATTCATCGATCTGCCAGAATTCCCCTTTGGTAATATTGTTGTCTTGGAAACAAATGTAGGGGACAGTTGTGTACTGTATATGGCATCTTTTCACAGTTGTCTCCTCCTTTTTCTCAGCCTTGGAGCCCAGGATCCTGACCCGCTGGGACATGCATGCGTACGCCAGAGAGGCCTACAAGGCTGGCATCCGCTTCATTGGAGGCTGCTGTGGGTTTGAGCCTTACCACATCAGGGCTATAGCTGAGGAGCTGGCCACTGAGAGAGGGATCCTTCCCCCAGCCTCAGAGAAACATGGAATGTGGGGTGCTGGTCTGGAGATGCATACCAAACCCTGGGTCAGAGCCAGGTACACCAGCCCAAATATTGATTATACTTGAATGTACACATTTTTGTATAGATCATTTCTACAAGGTATCTATGTGTAACCTGTGTCTTTTTGTCCCCCAGGGCTCGTCGTGATTACTGGGAGCACATCGCTCCCGCATCCGGACGTCCCAAGTGCCCGTCCTTGTCCACACCGGAAGGCTGGGGTGTGACCAAGGGCCATGCTGAGCTCATGCAGCAGAAAGAGGCCACCAGCAGCCAGGAGATAAAGCATCTGATGGAGATGCAGAAGAAGACCAAGTCATCTGCATGAGCAAGACGAGGAAACCGAGGCACCCATACCTGCAGTTTGTCAACAAGAGAGCGACGGGGGAAGGAGGGAAGTCTTTCCGGGTTCAGTTTGGATGTCAAAAGCACTTGAAACAGCGAGAGACTTACTATGTAAACCCCCAAAAATAAACCTGAGTTTGTCACCTATGTTTATGTTTTGTCATTGGGAAATAAGCACTATTAGACTGTTCCATTTTAAGAAAGATATAAAACAGTGTCTTGTACCATAAACACAAACCCCAATTCCCATGAAGTTGGGATGTTGTGTAAATCGTAAACAGAAACAGAATACAATGATTTGCAAATCCTTTTCGACCTATGATCAATTGAATGCACTACAAAGACAAGATATTTAATGTTTAAACTGATACACTTTATATATTTTTGCAAATATTCACTCATTTTGAATTTGATGCCTGCAACACATTCCAGAAAAGCTCGGACAGGGGCATGTTTACCACTCTGTTACATCACCTTTCCTTTTAACATCACTCAATTGTTGAGGCTTTGTAGGTGGAATTATCTGCGCTTCTAGGTGTTGTTGATATACAGTATGGCTTTGGCTTTGCATGGTAGAGTTTTAACTTGCACTTGTAGATGTAGCGACAAACTATGTTAACTGGCAATGGTTTTCTGAAGTGTTCCTGAGCCCACGCATTAAAATGGTTTTTAATGCAGTGCCGTCTGAGGGATCGAAGGTCACGGGCATTCAATGTTGGTGTTGGGCCTTGCTGCTTACGTGCAGGGATTTGCTCGGATTCTCAGAATCTTTTGATGATATTATGGACTATAGATGATGAAATCCCTAAATTCCTTGAAATTGTATGTTGATTAAACGTTGTTCTTAAACAGTTGGACTTCGCTCACGCAGTTGTTCACAAAGTGGTGAAGCTCGCCCCATCCTTGCTTGTGAAGGCTTAGCCTTTCGAGGATGCTTCTTTTATACCCAATCATGACACTTCCCTGTTTCCAATTAACCTGAGGAATGTTCCAAACAGGTGTTTTTTGAGCATTCTTCAACTTTCCCAGTCTTTTGTTGCCCCTGACTCAGCTTTTTTGGAACGTGTTGCAGGCGTCAAATTGAAAATGATTGAATATTTACAAAAAAACAATAAAGTTTATCAGATTGAACATTATATATCTTTTCTTTGTTGTGTATTCAATTGAATATAGGTCGAAAAGGATTAGCAAATCATTGTATTCTGTTTTTATTTACGTTATACACAACATCCCAACCTATTGGAATTGGGGTTTGTATGTCATACATTTCACATATGCACAGATTTTTGCCTGGCTTGTTAAAAGTGGTTCCAAACTATCAAGTTATGAATCTGTCGAGACAGGGTCCAAAAGACATAGACCCACATAAATCAACAGGACAGACAAACACCCCAAAACCTCACATAGGGACACTCACAATACTCTCATTCAGCTAAAGAAGGGAGGGGAGCAAGTCAATATTGCAGTTGTGTAACTAGCCTCTTGCCAATCAGAGCAGCCCTTACTTTGACCCCTCCCCTCCTCCAGAGAGATTTAAGGTGGCCTCCTGCTCCCTTCTAATCCAGTCAGTGGTCCACACAACTGCAGGATTATGGCACCAGCAAAGAAGGTATGAGTGAACTTTTGTCTTAAGGAAGAGTATGTTGTTGAGACCATCCTGCAGAAGAACAACACAGGGAATTAGTTCTGTGGATTTATAATGTCTGTTATGTCTTATTATATTGAGCTGCAAATTAAAGAATGGTTTATGTTTGGCTTTTTTTGCCATAGGTTTTGAGATATTTGTGTCTTAGACCATGACCATATATGTGTGGTGCTTATTCTGGGCAGAGGGATATAGTATATCCAAGGCATCTTCTGCACAACTGGCATATCACGTCAGATGTCACTGACCAATTAACCTTCAAGCAGTTCAGGTAGACATGTAGTTATAATGTGTCCTGAAAAAAGACCAGACAAAAACTCTTCTCGACCCCTCGCTATACAAAAATGATTAAATAAACCTGTTTTTCCTTTTGGACAAATATAGCGATGGCGATTATCCCTCATTTAATGTGACTTTAGTTTTCAGTTGTCATGAGGAGCTGTGCAGCTGTTGTCAGACATGTGCTGCTGTCTTCATGAATCAGGGTCATTGAGAGAAGGAGGATGTAGCATTGGATTTGGGAAACAACTACACATAATGCATGTTGTTTTAGAGTCTTTATTCCTCTGGCCTAATTAAACAGAGTCAGTCCGAACCGAACGAGCCATTGTGATTGAGGCTCATCACCAGCATAATACTCATATTTATTTGTACATGATTCTAAGTTGACATTTACCTGTTATGACAGGGAATCTTGGAGCGTCTTGACGCTGGGGAGGTCGTGATCGGCGATGGAGGTTTTGTGTTTGCTCTGGAGAAGAGAGGCTATGTAAAGGCAGGTCCATGGACACCTGAGGCCGCCGTAGAGCACCCCGAAGCAGGTGAGAACAAAAATATTGACCAGTTTTTTCTCTATTCCAATTTAAAATAATCCTCTGCAAGTGTTACCTGCAAATGACTTTTCCTTGTGCATTTTACTGTATGTTACAGTTAAGATGGATTTACTATGCATGCCTTATCATGCAATTCTATTTGTTTAATGATTTCAGTGCGACAGCTGCACAGGGAGTTCCTGAGGTCCGGGTCCAATGTCATGCAGACCTTCACCTTCTACGCCAGCGATGACAAACTGGAGAACAGGGGCAACAAGCTCTCCCTCACTGTAAGTTAACGGGGCATCACACCACTGCCATAGGAATAAGCAGAATATCATTGATAACAGTGACACAACAAACAAAATAAAAAATTCAGATCAGATGCCCATTAGCAGCATTATTAAACTGTTAATCTCAATGTGAACGTTCTATTTAAATATGTATTTATGTGTAACAGGATTGTCTTTTTGATTCTCACCTGTATTGACCATCATTTGGCTCCGTTCTGCAGGGAGCTCAGATCAACGAGGCCGCCTGCGATCTGGCCCGTGAGGTTGCCAACGAGGGCGACGCTCTGGTTGCCGGGGGAGTTTGTCAGACTCCATCCTACCTGAGCTGCAAGAGTGAGACAGAGGTGAAAGCCATCTTAAAGAAACAGCTGGATGTGTTTGTCAAGAAAGATGTCGACTTCCTGATTGCTGAGGTAAGGATAAAAACGTTAGTAACTGAATTAATTCCAGATTTTTTAGATTTTTTCTTGGATATTAAGAACATGCTGATGTCATTGTCCTGCAGTACTTTGAGCATGTGGAAGAGGCTGTGTGGGCCGTGGAGGTGCTGAAGGAGACAGGAAAGCCCATCGCTGCCTGTCTGTGTATCGGACCAGATGGAGACATGCACGGTGTCTCACCAGGAGAGTGTGCCGTCAGGCTGGTCAAAGCCGGTGAGTTCAGTGTTCTTTAATTCAAACAGAACTAGTTAATGGATACAAGAAGTAGTTATAGCGAAATATTAGAGATTCAGGTTTAAACTTGTTCATATAAACATATCTTATCATCTCATGACCTCTCTGCAGTGTGACCTGCAGGGTCCGATTTCTAACTGGTAGACACAAGATAAGACGCATCTGTTTGTAGACTCTTGGTATTATTAATTAACAACTGGCCCAAGCCTACGTGCCAAAACCTTTTTGGCAGTTGCTTTGTCGTGTCACCACCAGCACCAAAATGATTACCATTCAAAGAAACCAGCCAAATGCAAAATGTGTTATAGATATAACCAAAATCTTCAACCAGTTGTCGCTGTCTCTTCGTCATGTGTTCTTTTTTTGCTCATCTGTAAGAGTCAGCTGACATAAATTCACATTCTTTTATAGGAGCTCAGATTGTGGGAGTCAACTGTCACTTTGACCCCATGACCTGCGTAAAAGCTGTCAAGATGATGAAGGAGGGAGTGGAGAAGGCCGGTCTGAAGGCTCACTACATGGTGCAGCCTCTGGCATACCACACCCCAGACTGCAGCTGTCAGGGATTCATCGATCTGCCAGAATTCCCCTTCGGTAATAATATACTGTATTTAAATTTGACCATACCACACATGACAATATATCATAGGCAGTTTAAACCTAAAATCAAAAATACATATTTTTCCTCTGACCTGTAATATGTTTATCAATCTTAATTGTTTTGCAGTGATTTGCCTTGTGTCGAAGATATCAGCTATACAAATTCCTGCTATCTTTTGAATATAAAGAAGTTAGACCACACTCAGCTTGTGGTGCTCAAAGTGCCAAAAAATACATTTGTAAAACTTAACAGCAATGTCTTTCCAGTAGCCTAATTGTGACCCAGTATTCAAGATGATACAGACCCTGTTGGGAGTAGGTTCCTGTCGGAACTTTTTTTGTTTTACGTAACCAAATCTGCCGACCATATACCCGCACCGAATGGAGTGAGCATCTACCCGTGGACGAGAGGCTCATGACAGCTGGAGATGTTAACATGAATAGTGCCTTCTTTGCTGGGCTGTAACGTTAGATTGCTCAGGAAAGCTTCTCGTCCACGAATAGATGCACACTTCTTTCTGCGCAGTGATACACTTAGCTGGTGTCTTTATTAATACATAGCACTACACGTCAGAGGATAATGTGTATTTTTTATTTTGGGGTTAACTGTCCCTTCAAAAGCAGGTTTTCTCAGTGTGCATGCACATAGAGTATAACCACTGCTAGTGTATTGTCACTTAATCCAGCAAGGAAAGCAACCGCTCAGGAATAAAATGTGTATAAATCCTCTGTCAGGTCTGGAGCCCAGGATCCTGACCCGCTGGGACATGCATGCATACGCCAGAGAGGCCTACAATACTGGCATCCGCTTCATTGGAGGCTGCTGTGGATTTGAGCCTTACCACATCAGGGCTGTTGCAGAGGAGCTGGCCCCTGAGAGAGGTTATCTCCCAGAAGCGTCAGAGAAACATGGCAACTGGGGTGCTGGTCTGGAAATGCACACCAAGCCCTGGGTCAGAGCCAGGTCAGAAGCAACTTTTAATCCTTCACTCAATATCACCTAAACTCATTCAATTGTGAAAAATGTTAAGTGTCAGTGGGTTCTAACGGGTATGACTTTTTGTGTCCTATAGAGCCCGTCGCGACTACTGGGAGAACCTGAAGCCAGCCTCTGGTCGTCCTCTGTGTCCCTCCATGTCTTCCCCCGATGGCTGGGGTATTACCAAGGGCCACTCTGACCTCATGCAGCAAACAGAGGCCACCTCTAAGGACCAACTCAAACAGCTGTTCGACAGGTCAAAGAGCCAATGAGTCTCTCTCAGTCTACACTGTTGTGTGCATTATCTCTAACAGTGCTGCACCTAACAAGCTTAATGTCAGGGGTCACATCTTCACTTGAAACCATCACTGTTCTGTGCAATATGTTGATTGTAAAGCTGAAGTTGATGTGTAGCCACAGCGGGGTCTTAAATTAGGTGTCGACCCGTGTTAAGATCGGGACCTTTTTTTTTCATAATTCTGGACCAGTTTGTTTAATAGAATATAATCTAATAAAGTGTGAATTGGCCATTTGATGCTTCAAGTGTGGTTTCTTTCAGTGGATTGGTGGGTGGTGGGTGGGTGTTTATCAGTGCTATCATCGGTAGATACAGTATGTGACAATCATAAACATGCACACACACATATGGAAAAAGCTGTGCACGAACATACAACATAGACTTAAACATGTCAAAAAAGAGCAAAGTTTCAATTCAATGACAAGTATAATTTAATGATTAGATCAATAATAGTTAGGTCACATAGAACAACATACTGTTATGTGTTTCTCTGCAGTTTGCAGAATTATGTCAGATAATAAACATGGTATAACGTTAGGAAATGTTCTGATCTCCCACTGGGGTTTAAGGGAAATGGGCGTTAGTGTTTATCTTTGTGAATTACATAGGATTGAAGGCACCACACTTTGCAAGGCTTAAGTGAGTCATGCAATAAATGATGGATCCAGTAGATGGCGGTGTTGGGACTTTATGGCCCATATTTCTGACCGCACTTACAAAGAGCCTTAAAGGAAAGATGTTCCACCAGCTAGCAGTGGTGGTAAGAAGTTGGCATTGTGTTTCTTATTAAAAAACGCTGTCCTTTATTCTCGTATGTACATTTTAGGCTCAACGGGCCAATCTACCAATATTTATTTATTTATTTACAGTATTTTCTGTGGAAAGGCCATTCCACTGGTTTTACTATTCATAGAAACTATTCAGAAAAGAGTGGAAAGTAAGTGTTTTATGGCCCAAATGATCAAGGTATCTCTTCCTTTAGTTGGACAGTTAAACACAAAGTCTGCATTACATAAAAGGAAAACCAGTTTAAAATAAATTCACATAGCCAGTCAGGGAGTGCCTAATGAAGTAAGCTATTTACGTTTTTTTTATTTTAGATACAGCATCTTACTCTTTATAGGGACACAAATTCAGGATATCCAGCCTTTGCTGCTTTAATGTTTATCTACATTGATAGTTAAATGTTATTTGTATGTCCCTTATACATCTTAAACATTATGGACTAGCAATATTTAAAAAGCTAATTTTATTAGACTATATTTAATTTATGTTGTAATTATTATGGGATGATTTTAAGTATAAATATCAATTATATGTTATTACCTTTATATATACAGTCTATGGTTATTACTAGAGCATGAGACATTCGTGCTTTGATTTCCTAGTGCATGCCTTGTGTATTTTCTGTTGGTGACACATCTTCTCCTATAAACGCTCTCTGCTGCTTCCCTCGTCGTTGATTGGACAGTCTTTGAGCAGATGACCTTGTTATCCGGGTTTTTCTCCCCCAATGCGGAGTGAATTAAAACACAGGGTATGATATTTGTCTTTGACCTAGCACAGTAGCCTTGTTTTGACATGTTGTGGTATCACACATAGAATATAATTGCCTTTTAATTGCTTTATGAGGTAAAAAGGGACATGGAGCATCATTAAACCTCGACTGGTTTAGCTTTGTATTGGATTAAGGTCTTTTATTGGTCTATTTTTGTATGTCCTTTTTGACAGGAGGCTAACTCACTACCTGGGATGGGACGGCTGCAGTATGTCCTGAGGATTTGACCTCGCAGGACAACCTCTGGGTCTACACGTCGGTCGTCTGTGTGTAATAATCGTGGTAAAGATATTTAAGGCAAGCCTAATAAAATACTCACATTTAAGGTTTACTATTTAATCTAGTCTTAATCACCCAGTTTGAGAAGATCTATATTATTGCTGTATAGTCTAAAAATGAATCTTCTATTGATGCCATTGATGTGTGAACTGTTATCAGCATCTTCACCATAATAAACTGCATCCTCTGGACCAGTATGTGCGTTATGGTATAGACCTCGCTGTTTATAATGACAGTAGCGCCATCTTGTGGTGTGTTTCAGCAACTGCAGGGAGCTTTATTTGTATACCGGAAGTATAACTGTGAGGTCGTCATGGGGAGCAAAGTCAGCTCCAAAATGGCAGCTCCGGCCGCTCGAGTTATCCAGGTAACGTTGCTCCTGATTTTTTGATAATCTACTGATCACTGAGTAAAGCTTACATTAACTTTGTAAACTCAAAATGTCGCTTTTCTGTATGTGTTAACATTGAATTATTTTTAAAGGTGAGGCCTTTTTTAGGGTGACAAAACCATCGTACCCTTGTTGATGTCCTTGTTAAAGCGCAAAACTCACAGTGTGTTGACAGTAACCGGAAAAAGGTTTTACTTGTTAAATCAATATTACATGTTTAGACGTTAGCTCAATTTTTCACGACTGATTCCGATTAGTTCAAGATGTAAACTAGCTTACATGTAGTGGAATAACAATACCATATTTACCTCTGAATTGTAGTGGAGTAGAATTACAAAGTAGCATAACACTGAAATACTAGTAAAGTATTAGTACCTCAGAATTGTATTTAAGTACAGAACTTGAGTACATGGTTACACCACTGCCTATATTTATTTTTCCAGAGAAAACACATAGCTGTGAGTTGTTGTTGTTGTTGTTGACAGTTAATTTATATATTATTATTTATGACTTCTTTACTTATGTTTAATTCTCTCGCTCAATGACAAATATATTTTATTTTTGAGAGGTTGTTGTACCTGTGCATGTGTGCCCCAGTAGCCAGTGGTGAAATGTAAAGCAGTGGTGAAGTTAGATTCAGGTTGGATATTCGGCAGACATTCACTCTGGACCCAGGCCCTTTCTCATTTCACTCCCCTCCTCGACTCCCCTCCTCGACTCCTATCCTCGACTCCCCTCCTCGACTCCTATCCTCGTGTCTTAGTCCCGCCCACAGGAGATGCGAGCGGAGGAGTCGAGGAGGGGAACCGAGGAGAGAGGAGGGGAAGCAGCAGGCGATTAGAGAAATTAGAAATCCTCTCCTCTGAGCGGTCATTTTAAAGAGATGTCCATTAATGATGACAGGAGGCACAGCAGCACTCTGTCTGATGGACAGAACTGTGTTCATGATGACTTATATATTTACTTTTAATTCATTGACAGTGTGGTATAATGAGACAATAAAAGGCTACAGATGTGGACATATATACACACACACACAGGTATATATAATATTTATATAAATATATACAATTTCAGAATCAAACAAGTGAGAGCACTCTCATAATAACGTAACACTATCAGAGACTGGATATATTGAGGAGGGGTAATTAGTGAAATGAGAAAGGGCCCCAGAGTCGTCTTCTTCCTCAGTTTCTTAGGCCCAATTCCAATTCGACTCCTATACACTTTACACTCCGTTTTAGCGGTCGCGTGGAGGGTCCGCCACATTACATCCCGTTCCAAACCAACTCGTGGGGAGTGGGTGATAAAGCTCTCCAACAGAGAGGGTGTTTCTCAATGTCAAGGAAGGATGCTCCAGAGCCACTATTTCAAGGATGCTACGTTATCGAGTCCCGCCGAAGGACTGTTCCAATGTCCAGGCTCCTTGGAATTCTACCGAGCCCGGCATCCTTCGTAGCGAGATATTTCGAGGCTGCACATGTGTATCCTCCGCGGTCTTAAAATCCCCACAATGCTTTGCGCACGGACCAATTTCCCAAAATCTGTTGCTCCACCTGACCGACCCAACGCTGTTTGTGTCCGTCATGAAACACGCTGTTACAAACAGTTCCATGCAAACATGTAATGGTAAACTTCGCAAAAAAAGATATTTAGTAAGGATTATATACCTGTGTCTAGAAAACGTTAAACGTGTGCAATGGATGGTAACGAGCCCACACTCTCAACACAGGGTTACACCTAGGCAATAAAATACCAGAAGACACACCTCTTTTTGTTAAATTGTAGTCCACTCTCTTTTTTTATAAAATGTTTCATGATAATTCAGCAGTGTATTTATTGAACGGCTTTCTTTTTACATTTAAAATAGTAATTGAAACAATCAGAAATGTTTACAATTTAAAGAAGCAGCTGAGTTTTGTAAAACAACATTTGTTTCAAATAGAATAATCACAAAAATCCAATAAAAACAGGTGCGTCCTACTAGTCCAGCGTAGTAATCAATGCTGCTTTGATTTGTTGTCATTGAGGTTTTTTTTCATAAAATATAAATATAAGATAGAAGACAGACTTCCATTCAATAGAAAATAGATCTTTTCGACTTGCCTAGTGTATTAATAAGGTCTAGTATGGATTGGGAATCAATGGGTCATATAACATCAGAGCTATTGAAAAGAAACAAGGCTTTTTTTAACCAAACCTTCTCAGACTGCTCACAGACTTTGAAACACTCGTCTACCTAGTACTTTTATTCAGGTACATTTACCCAAGTAATACATTTGAGGTACTTGGTTTGGAGTATTTCCTTTTTTTGCAACTTCTTACTTCTGAGGAAAATATTGTACTTATTACTCCAAAATATTGATATTACAGTTTACATTATTTTCAGATACATTTTTTATATTTTTCATGTCAAGCTAGGCTATTTTTAAAACCCTCTTGTATCAGCTAAACAATGCATTGTCTCAATGCTGAAATCAGAGCTGTGTTTCTAATCAAAAGTTGAATTGCTGTACATTAAACTGCCCAACAGCATAAAGGAGTTAAAACACAGCTTCCATCACTGTCAGTATCCCAGCAAACAGGTCAACATTGTTTGTGTGGATTAGGACTGTCTAAGGATCTGCAACCGTACTGCAACAGTGTTATTAAAGATCATAGCAGGGATACTGCAAAAAAACAGCAAATAAAAAACTAAACTATGTGAATACCTCATAATAAAATGTTAAATATGTGTTTAATTTAGGGTTATTGGACCTGTCAATTCATAGACAAGTTATTATTCACACCGCTGTTTTAATGTTTATGTGTTAGCAGGCTATTCGGCCTCACGCACCTCTCATCAAGTTCCCCAACAGACAAGAATTCTCAAGGCCCAATGGTGAGTATAAAGAAGGTGAATAATGGACGGATAGTGTCCATGATGACCTTAATGCATATGATGATGTAAACTGTTAAGTTGTTCTGGGCCTATTTTATTGTTTCAAGGTGTATTTTCTCTGGTTGCATTTACAGTAAAACTGCAATCATTTTTGATAAATGTTTACAATAGAATAATAAAATACTCAAGATGTATACTCTTCTTAGTGCTTCTTGAGTTGCCTTTTATTCATAGTGATTTTGTTTCTATCCTTTTTTTAGTCGTAGAGGTATTGAAAGCGTTAGTGGTTAACACTTCTCCACACAAGGCTCCAGCTCCAATACCAAGACCTCATGTACCTTTGACCCCGATCTCTGGCACGGCGGACACCCTGGCCTCCATTCAGCTTCTCCCTGCGAGGTACCGCAGGAGACCCATGACAGTGGAGGAAATGGACTACATCCAGGTGAGGGGCCACACTGAACACCCGACTTTAGACTATACACACAACAATTTGGCCTTAAGCATTTGGTCTCAGTTAGAACAGAGGTTCTATATGTTTTTAATCAACCAAGGACCCTTTACAAAACATAGAATCTACCAGGAACTCCCCATTTGTCCTTTGGAATAATTTGATGTAGCCTAATTTCTTTACACTTCCAAGGTCTTGAGTTTTGTAAAGAACCACACAAGAGAAATGTATGAAACACATATTAAACATGTTTGCAGATATGGAGTTATAGATCAGTTAGAATAGGTTTTATTATTTACATTTTTCAGGGACCCCTGAAAAATGAGAGTGTTTGTGGCATAGAGACACAAACACTCTGAGAACCACATGACCTTTGTCCTTGAGTTAAAATAAACCTGCATGTAACCGTTGGCCCTAAGACTCCTATAGATTTTAACAGTTGTCTGAATTAGTACTGTAGTTATACATAAGTTGATGTTTCAGTGCACTCTAAAATAAAAATGTAACCCATTTATAGACATATTACAACAGGAGGCAAAATCTGAATAAGTAAACTTTAATAAACGTGTTTTATGCTTTTTTCTTCACAGCGTGGGGGACCAGAGTGACATGAAGCAACTTATTCACTGCAACCAAAGTCCTTATTTGTTAGAGATTATTACTTGTCTTCAACTATGTTATTCAACACAAGATAACCTATTGCCACATGAGACATGATGTAGAATAAAGTATTGCATAAAGCCTGTTCAAATGTACATATGATTATTTTAGATGTATTTGTATTTAAGTTCATACCTGAGGGATATCTTCATTGTATTACACACAGCAGAGCTTTAACAATAGCAGGTTTCCTTATACGGTATAGGGACAGCACATATTACCCACAGGCTTCTTATAAAACCTTGGTTTTTACATTATACTGTAGCAGCTCATCTAAAGATTTTCAGATTATCTTGCACTTCCCCTGCAATACCACCACACCTTAATTGTAGCATGAGGCTCTGGTACATACAAGAAAATTATAAGGTTGGTTTGCTTTTCATGTCTTTCACTGCAATACATTGACCGATCTGTGTGTTAGAATACATAAGGCAGAATATGCTGGATCTCAAGTTGCAAAAGTAAAGAGTGAAATGGTGTTCAGTTCATGTGAACTACTGCTGGATTCAAACTATTAAAAGAATATTGTATTTTATATGTGGTGTTCTTATCATGCTTGATGTAGATGCGTTGACACAAAACAAGCAGAAGATAAGGACTCATAAAAGGATGAACAACTTCATATTCATTTTAGGCATTTATTGTTACCGTTGCTAGCATGCTCTATGGTAAACATTAACAACATTGACATTTCACAACAGTGTAGTATGATTGGCCACCATTAATGTGTAAATGGTTGTCTAAGTATCATATTCTGTAAGCTGTTTAGTTCTTATGAATACTGGCACATTAATACAGACATGATAGAAAGGTGAATATACACTTCACCTATCTGACTAGCAGATTGTCACAGACTTAGTTTTACATTTTTCTTGCCAAGTATTAGGAGAAGTCACACTCTGGCAAACACATGAGAATACCACTCTGTTAGTAAGTACATGTCTGCCTTTGCGCCAAAAAATAAATAACAACCAACTCCTAGACGCATGAATTCCGTTGGACAACAATCCATGGCTTCACAAAAATAACTCTGGAGGTTCAAAACCAATTTCAAACACGACCTATGAAGTTTATGAAGAAGAAAGTGCTGTATTTTCATATATGAATATAAACGCTTACGGCAACAGGGGAACTGTCAAGTCACAAATGGGCACAACACTAGAAGAAACACTGAGGTAAACACTGAATTACTCCGATTATTTGGGGCGAATATTCTATTCTACGCGCGTCAGTCACAACATTAACAGCTTCTTGTTACTGAGAAACATTTCTAGTTTTTGATAGTTGTGGATAAGGTAGGTGCAAAAGCCACACTAAACATTGCACTTGGAATACAGCAGAAGCAATCTTTGCTTCGAACTGGAGGCCAAAGGACTCAATTGCTCTGTTCGTCCTGTTCCTCAAAAGCAGGTAAGAAATCAGCGATACTGTCCACTATGTAGTCGGGCACAAAGCTGTGGTTGGTGGTCAGCTCACTATCCCTGTACTCCTCCGCATCCTTTGTCTGAGACACCCCGGTGAGAGTGAGCATGGTGTCCAGCCTGCAGTTGGCCCCGAACAGCATGTCTGTCTCCAGACGGTCCCCGATCATCAGGCACTTGGCGGGGTCCACCCCTTCGAACTGACTGGAGATGCACTCGAACATGAAGCGGCTGGGCTTCCCGATCACAGTGGCCTTACGACCTGAGGACACCTCCAGGGCCGCAGTGAGGGACCCAGAGCCTGCCGGGGTGAAGATGAAAAGATTAGACTAAAGTGAATCTTAACAGATGTCCTCCAACAATCACCCACTAACCAGACTCCTTCAAGTATTTTGTCTGAGTGCCAGAAGGCCACAGCAACCCCCCTACTGTCACAACAGTTCTGCAATGTTGATCAATGGTATTAGTGCTGTGACCAACATATTGCATGTGCAAGTCCACTACAAAGCCTATAGTATTGGATTTTGGATTCATTTTTGTTTTATCAACAATTTATGATTAACTAGAATTACTTGCTGCTGTAAAACTCCCTCAATCAGTCAAGCTGCAGTTTAAATCCCTGTCTGTTAAATTGCAATATCAATACAAAGAAATTGTCCGTATCTCCCAGCCCTAATTTCCATTATCTGATTTAAAGTCTATATAACTTAGGTATGCAGTTCATTCATTGCTTTTAACTAACATTTCCAATTTAAGGAAACTGCCAACAGCTATCTTTGCAAAATACTGAACACATTATTGCTATATTACAGAGAGACACTTGTTTCACTTCCTTTAAGTGCAACACAAAAAGGAATGTGCAGGTTCTTGAAACTTAAACTTGATTACATAATGGACAAAACTGAAAACTGCCTTGGAGTCTCACATTACTGTGGCCCTGGAAGGCTGTAGTTCACATGTTGTTAGTTAATAAGTAACAATGAGTACACGCAACATATATGGCAATATATACAGGGCTAAAGGCATTCAACAGATCATGCATTATTGTAGGGTCAATTTATAGTATAAATATATGGTATATTTACCCTAGAAATAATACAATGAAACTGTCATGTGCAGGCTTTCTTGCTCTTTAAATAGTAGACCCCTTGAGGATGATGGTGTACATAAACAATGCACAGAGTGAGAAGAATGGCTACCAAGCTGAATTCCCCATTCAAGATTTGAACATAAATCAAATAACCACACGTATGATGTTGAGTTCTTTCTGCCCATGTTTGAGGTATGGTATCTGCACTAAATTATAGTGTCTACTAAAAAATCTGAAAAGGTACAGCTAAATACTTTTTCAAGAAACAATGTAATTTTAACCAGGTGTTCTGCACTTCCTTTGGAAAATAAAAACGATTCTTTACACAGCAATATAGTCTAATTATCACCCAAAAAAAAGCTCATTCTGTTAGCTTATTCTTATTTTCCAGAATCTTTTCACCCAGTGTTTTTTGTATTTCAGTTTAAACAGTGAATACCAGAAAGAAATCATGGTATTAAACCATGTAGAACTGTTACTTGTATTGGAGTTATTTGTTCACTTGTACTTCAGCAAATGATCTCAATACTTCTTTTGCCACTGGTTATAATAATTATTTAGTGAAGCTTAAGTGTGCAACTTGAAGCTATTGTAGGACAAGTGGGTGAATTAATGAAAAAAGAACTAAAATCAATGAGAAATTCTTATTTCACACCAAACTGATGTTCCAGCTCTCGCTGAATACTGGGGCCTGTGCCTAATAAGCCCTATAATAATCTATAAAGGGTTGTCACCAACACAAGTTCAGTGCAGTGCATAACACTGGAGAGGCCGAGTATTAACAATGGAGGCATCACCACCACCTACCTGGCAGTATCCGGCCCCCTGACAGAGGGTGCCAGGGGTCGATGTCGGTGGCCAGGAACAGACAGTCCGGGTCCCTCAGGTAGCACGACGCTTTGGCCAGTTTGAGAAAAGTCATTTTATCGTCATGTCCCACCAGCACTGCCTTGACGTCCGGGGCCAGGGGGCAGTTGTAGATGGTGGCATCCGGGTCCTCCACCTCCTCCACGCAGGGGACGCCCGCCTCCTGCAGCTCGGACCGCAGAGCCTCGCAGCCCATGACGAACACCTGGCCGCTGATCTTCACCACGTCCCTCAGGTAGAGAGCCGAGCAGTACGACGAGCTGAAGATCTGCTCCAGCATCACGTCGGTGAAGCCGAGCCGGGAGAACTTGTGCACATATTTCTCCCGGGGCCTGGTGCAGTTGTTGGTGACGAACACTACGTGTTTACCGTTCCGTATCAGCGAATTCACCACCGTCGCCGCGCCCGTCACCGCCTTCTCTCCGTGCCACAGGACCCCGTCGCAGTCCAGCAGGATGAAGTCCTTCGCCTCCAGCAGGTTCCTAAGCTGCGGACCTCGAATTTTCTGGCAGCCTTTGAAGGCGCCTGCCATTCCGGCGTTTTCCTCGGTATCCTCCGTGTTTCACCTGTTAGTGTTTCCCCATATTAACAGCTGGTGCATAATGTACAAAACAGAGGCTATAAAAGAAATCAATGTCAGGAAATCACATAGCAGAGTCCTTGCAACGGTTACATACACCGACCAGAGAGCTACATAAACATTGACGGCTAACCACGCCCACGTTGTCGACCCTGACCAATGAAACGACAGCATTTTAACTAATCAGGTTCGGGCGAGTCACCAGACTTTTATGAGGAACATCCTCTAAAAAATGGCATTGCGCTCCCCTAGCGGCGGAAAGACACTTTTAAATATGACATTGTATGTTGTGTTTTAATGTTGAACACATAACATTACATGAATCTGCAAAAATGCTTTATTTCCTCTGAAATCATCACCCTGAACAGCTTTTTAACATTGTAGGGGGTTCAGAAGAAAGCTCATTTCCAATTAATCTATACATTGAATTAGGTTACTTAATGTATAGGCTAACTGCTTCATTGTATAGTTCATTTTTGTGCACCAAATCTCATCTTTAATATAGAGTTATTTTTAGCTAAATGTAGTGGAAAAGTGCAAGGCTTCCCTCTTAAACGTGGTTAATGTGGAGCAAAATAATAAAATAGCATAAAGTAATACTCAAATTAAGAACAAGGGGCAGTTCAAACATGAAGGTTGTAATGTGTCCCTTCAATATTTGGCCATCCAAATATAATGAGGATAAGCTAAATATTAGAAACACCTAATGATATGCAATACAATTGTATAACTGTCTTTATATTTTTGTAAAATCTTTTTAAGTACAGCCAGACAAAAAAAAAAGATTTCAGTGAAAGTTGCACACAATCTTAACAGTGTATTAGTATTTTAATGGTATAGTCACAGTGCATTGGTATTAACCTACCAGATTCAGAACATTTAACTTAAGTAGCACTATTTGAAAATATTGACTTGCTTATAAGTAGGCCTAGAATTGGGCTTAACTATTGTTTTATAAGTCATGTTTTTTTAGGCCCAAGATTCACTTTCTCAATTAGGTCTTCTTCCCAGGTCACTAGATGGAGCTATAATCCACAAACAGTACAGATAAATGAAATCCATCAACAGTCACCTTCTCTACTGTCTGATTCTATCTTCCCATTTGCCTGTTACTTACTCACTGAAACTCACAGAGCCAATAGCCAAGGTAAACATTAAAGCCCATCAAATGTACTTATCGTTTTGTCTTTGAACTTAGGGTTTTACTTTTGACATTCAATAATTACAGAACATATTCATAAATATACTACAAATTATAAATACAACAAATCTTACAGAAATATATCGATATTTTGTTTCAATTGTGCCACTATTTTCAAGCCTAATTTAAATGACAAAGAAATAAGAAAAAAGACAGACAGGAACAGGCTACTAGAGTAGATCCAGTTTTAATGCAAGTTATGTCAAACGTCCTTTTTTCACACTTAACAAAAACACATCAGAGCCACTACACATTAAAGAGTTAAAAATAACACATGCATGATTTAAGAACCTTTACATCAATTATTTCCTCCCTCTTGCCCCATCTTATGTGACATTGTGACTATCATTATGTCCTTTTATTTTAATTGATATTATCTTGCTTGTGACAGCAGGTCACCTGAAGTAGTCCTGTTTTGCCTAAATGCCATGGTTGTTAGTCAAGTTAAAATAAATGATTTAATTTCTAGCTTAAAACAAAAAAAAGAACAAAATGTTATTGTAGTTATATTATTAATGATGACTATTTCTAGCTTCTTTTTCTCAAAGCTTTGTTTCTGATTTGAATAATTTCCTGTGTTTTTTTTTTCATTGTTGTGTCATCATTAAAGTTTCCTCTGTGTTTGCCTTTTTTTCCCCACCGGTGGTCCTGTTGTCTCATGCTTTGGCTGCTTTGCCCTGCCTGTTTAGGATTGCGTGCGAGACAGAGGAAGACTCACTGGCACCTTCAACTGCCAGCCCAACAGACGAATGAAATGCAGGGAAGGAATGAAAGAATGGACAGCTGAATGGACACAGAACAAGCTGTCCTAATTGGTCATTATTTCCTTGCTAATCTATATTTTCCTCCCTGCTAACCCCCAACACAGATGTGAAGAGTGGGAGGGAGGACAGAACAGAGAGGGGGGTCCTCCAAGGCCTGGGCTGCTTTCAAGGATGGCTTGAGCGCTGACCGTGAACGCTGCTGTACGCTTTTGTGCCTTGTTTAGAAAGGGGAAGGAGACTCAGCGGAAACCAGCAGAGGAGGGTGTGGGGGTCAGAGGGGAGACTTGCAGGTGGTTGATAATTGAAGAGCCAGTAGACCATTACGTTGCCCCAAATACACACATCCAGATACACACGTGCATAAACACACTCTCCAGGTAGAGCGTACCTTTTTGAGAGTTCAGGTATATTCTATGACTATCAATATATTGCATCTACACAAAAGTACCCATCTAGCCTAGCATTGCAGCACAAAAAATGTCTCAACAAACATCAATCTACTCTTAGGCTGGCTGCCACACGAAACAACACAAAAGCACAAAAGCAGTGCCTGGTGGGGTGAGTGTGTTTGCATGCCTACTATCAGCCACCCTTGCTTGCAGCACCGTCAGGTCAAAGCAGCACAGAGGTGTTGGACAATGTGGCACTGCAGGACAAATGAGATGTCTGGTAGTCACGATGGCGCTGGGAGGGGAGAGGGCAGGACACTTGGCATTAAAAGGTTACTGGCTTAAGAGAAACTGGAAACGCATAATATGAAACTCTATTCAGTATGCAAATTCGAGCAAATTAAAGTTATGCAACGTTATTCCTACCATCAAAACTGTTTTTAATGCATTTTTTGCGCATTTATGTAAAATCCTTAAAAACAATAATGTTTTCTTTTATTGTTTTCAACTTTTCTTTTGATAATTAAAGGGAATTTTTTTAAATACCAATATTTTCTGGTGAATTGTTATGAATAGATTACAACAAGACTGGATTATTAGTTGTACTTCGGCAGTATTTTAGGTTCGCAGTAAATTCTCATATTGGTGCAGTGTTCAAGTCCAACATAAACTCAATCTCAGAACTGAATTAAACTTCTAAAGTGTCCCTTAGTACTGCTATTGTACTTTTTTGTGTTTGTCCCTGCTATTCTTCTTCCTACAGAAAGTCCAGCAGAGAACTACAGGTCCCAGAAGCCCCAGGAAGAGAAGAAGCGCCAGGTCCAGCAGGTATCTCTGGTACCAGGCTTGTGTCAGTGAAGCAGGCCTTAGATGAGCTCCACCTCCACTATGCAGGATGTGCTCAACCCACTGGATGAGTCGAAGGGCTGGAGGGACAGGATGAGATCTGTGGATCCTGCTAAGGGACAAAGCTGAAGACTTGATCCTATAAAAAGGAATATAATTGGAAGAAAGAGAAATGAGGAGTAATTACAGACATATCTGTGCTGTACTGGCATCACCAATGTTGCCCACATACTGTACCTGACGTCCTGTGTGAGTTTTTGAATTGTGGAGCTGAGCAGCTCCCTGGTGATGTGTGTGGGGCTGATGGTGAGGCCAAGTCCCTTTGTTTCAGCCCTCACCACATTATCAAACTGATCCCCAAACAGAGGGATTCCCAGCACAGGCACAGCATGGTACACCGCCTGGAGCAGGCTGTTTTGTCCACCATGGGTGATGAAGAGACGAGCTTTATTGTGGCCTGGGGTAAACCGAAAATAGGGAAAACATCATCACTGATTAGAGGAAGTTAGAGTGTTGTGGTTTAGTACAGAATAATACAACAGTCTTACTCTGGGATACTGAACTTGCTTTGTCCGGGGGCCGCTTTTGCAAAATAAGAGAAGTTAATAGACAGTCAATGAAGCGTGGACATCTGTCAGGAAGATCCTCCTCTATGGTACCTATCTTGCTGAAGGTTCAGCATCACTGGTCTATCTTATAGGTTAAGGCTCATTACACTGAGGGCTAAACCACTGCCAACACTCATTGGATGGGGAGGCACAGCAAGATAATTACACCACAGAGCAGTGACCATGATCATTCATGCTGTATTTGAATCTTACTCCTACTCTAAATGAGATCAAATTGTTTAACTGAACATTAAAGCAAGTAGTTGAGTTGTTTTGTATTAGTTCGAAATTGAAGGTGCATGCATTCACGATTATATCTTGAAATAGTTTGTTTTAATCGTTTTTCAGGTGGTGCGTAATGCCCGCAATTTAAAATATTTGTAACAGGTTAGAATAAGAGAGGCTCTTACCCAGCAGATCATTAAGAGGCAGCCAGTCCCCTATCATGAGATTAGAAGGTTTATCCAGATGAGATGGCCAGCGCATGGGGTCATACCTGCAAGCCAAACACTGCATTTGTAGGCATTTCCCTCAACATTCTTACATATAGAGTTTTAAAAAAATTATTTCATCTTTCCATAATTTGGGAAAAATATTTGTATTTTCCCTCCCGTCATTTATGTCTTTGTCAAAAGTGAGATCTGTGAGGAAGAAAGCTAAACGTGTTTTTTCTTATGCCTGTATGAATTGTGTAATGCTTTCACCTCCAGAAAACCCCCTGAGGGATCCTAGAGAAGCCGGCCACCAGCTCCACAAGCAGACGCTCCACAGAGACTGAGGAGACCATTGATCCCAAAGTCACGACAATAAAACCTGCCTCTCCAAAACTGGAGATCCACAACTCAAGATCCTGCAAAGGGTTTGGGTATGGGTAATACAGGAAATGTGTGAAGGGACATTTACATAGTTGATTCAGGCAGGATGAGGGAGAGAAGGATGTAGATGCAGAGGTGAAGGGGGAGTAAGAAAAGTCAAGAGAGGGAAGGAAGGCTTGTTAATTTAAATCTTAGTCACACTGATGGATTTGGATATTTGGATATGAGAATGAAGAGAAGAGACCTGCTCCAGAGGCTTGGCAGGTTTACTCAGCAGACCTCCCACCAGCACCGTGTAAGGCATGAGGGGCTGGGGGAACTCCAGTGAAAAGTCAGTGTTGAAGGCCCAGAGTTCAGCTCCTCCATGTAACTCCTTCAGACCTCCAGGGGGGGGTCCCGACTCAAGGTGGCGCTCAGCTACTTCCCTAAATGTCCGCCATACAAGTTCCTGGCCTTTGATAAGACAAAATACACACATCATTCACATGTATGCTCAACATTTTAGAAGTCATTCAGATTTCTTATTACTTGTTAATGAGTTTAAGCTAAACCACTTGCTGACTAGTTGCAAACACAGCGCATTCTTTAAGGAACAAATAGAAAGTACATATTTTTTAATCAGGATAGTAGGCCAATGCAGATGGGAACAATGTTAAAAATGGAGCAAAGAAGAAAGATTTATATATGATGGAAACAAATGTAAACATGCTCACCACATGTACAATTTGTTGAAATAAAAAATGAAAGGGAAATGATGATAAAGACAAAAAAGGATGGATTTTTGAATTCACATTATGTCCTGAAAAGCAGCTGAGAGAACTGAGAGAAGAATGAGACGTGAGAAGAAATATAATGTAAAATAACCATGACATCTATACAAATATTATCTAGAGTGTCATGTGGCTTACCCTAAACGATACGATACGATATTACTTTATTTGTCAGATCAAGTCTGAAATTTGACTTGCGTCACAGCAGCTCCATGTCCAACATCAACAGACAAATATCCAGACAAAAATACATGAAACACAAACAACAAACATTTAACATAACAGCACAATCAGTGAGAGAAAAGCTGCTCAAAGAGCCTTCAGCGTGCATTTGATCTGGGATGTAGCTCTGTTTCTACTGTGAGGATTGACTGATGCACAAAGGAGTGCTTCAGTCTGACCTTATTGAATCGTGGGACCCTGTATCTCCGATTAGATGGTAGCAGTTCATATTCACTGTTCAGAACATGGTTTGGGTCAGAGATGATGTTATTGGACAGCCTCACTAGGTTGTTATGATAGGCCGAGTCTCTGACAGGGTTGACCAACAGTCTTTGAGCAGATTTTTAACAGGTGGAGCAGTTTTGATTTTAAAGCTGCTGACAAACATTTGTACCAGGTAGTATTGCAGTATGAAACATGTGTGTTATTATGCAAGGCAAAAAAATACACTATGTGATCTCTAATGTACAGTATATACGCCATAAGACCATTCTTACCAACAGGAGACAAGACAGAATAGAAGAGGTTCTTTGCACGACCCCAGAGGCTCATGTTGTCGGACAGCTGGGAGCTGAAGACTGGCACGTGGGACACCGGGCTGGGGAGGGCGATAGACAGCGGGCCGTTCAGAGTGCCGGGGTAGAAAGCTATGTAACGGACCCCTGGAGTAAATCAAGAGTAAAGAGCATAGAACTGTATTCACGGTTGTTGGTAGATTTTTAAATAAAACACCATAAATCTGGCCTCACAATTAATTGGAATTAGTATATCTGCAATGAATAAAAGTGGCAAGGTATTGATAAATAATACATAACTGTTGAAATGGGAAAGATTTAAAGGAAGACAGTAATTATGAAAATAACCAAGGTGATAAGAAGAGCAGATGTACCAAGTTTGTGAGCCAGGATGAAGGAGCAGGGGTTAAAAGCATCAAGGATGGCGATGTCATAGTTTTCCCTCTGGAGGAAACTTATAATGTCTTTGTCCGCTAACAGCCTGTCACACTGATAGGACAGGTGCCCCATGAAGTTTAGAAAGTTCTTAAAGCTATCCCTGAGAGAGAAAAAAGAAAGCAAGAAAATGACAGAGTTATTGAAGAGAAAGACAGAGGGGAGTCAAAATCATAATTTCTTTTAAATCTGATATAATACAATGACACAAGTTAAACATATCTTAAACTCTAAGAAAGTTCAGAATTCTAAATGAGTATCAGACAAATTCAAGAGCTACAAAATGCCAGACTCAAAAGTTGAAAACTAAATTAGTTTATAAGAGTCTTCTAAAATAATTCAATTGTATCTAAGTGTCCAAGAAATCTGGGGATACCTTCCCAGTAAAAACTGTGTCTGTTGCTCCAGGAACCAGCCATTGTATTCTCTGATGTATTCCTCTCCTACGGACCAAGAGGTCGTCTGGTAACTGTCTGCACGGCCAGCATAGGAAAAACCTAACAGGAAATCAGAGGTTCAGAGATAGTCATTTCTATGAAAGAAACTGTGACAAAATGTGCCATGAGTTGTGCAAGAATACTTTCTGTACATGTGTGTGTGTACTGTATGAACAGTTTACCTTTGATAACAGGGTTGCCCAGTTGCAAGAGCATACGGACCTGATGGCCATGCTCGTGTAAGTTATGAGAAATTTCATCTAATAATAAGTAGTGGCTTCCTCCTAGAGAAAGTGAGAGAAGAAGAATTACAACAAATCACTATGCTGTCTGAAAAATGGCTCATACAGCATACATTTGAATATTAAAATGTTAAGGAGGCGCTCATTTATTTTTATATTTCTTAATATAAATTAATATATCTATTACTACCATTGAAGGACACTCCATTACTCACCAATTAGACAGACAGTCAGGATTTTGGCAGACTGAAGTACTGGAAGAGCCAGAAGAGGAAACATCCAAAATACAAATCCCATGTTGTTTTTAGAGTGCCACACACTGACAGCCAAAGTCTTCTTGAAATAGTCTTCCTATTCAAATGTAACTGTAAGGACAACCTTGCTTTGTCAACAAGAAGTCCTTATGATAAATGATGCCCTTTTAACTCCGTAATCGCAGCAACAAAGTTAAATCCAGGGAATATCTGAAGCAAACAGGTCCTAAAACAGAGCTATGATCCAGACCAATGAAACATTTTTCCAAGATAAATTAGCAGGAAAAAACACAGAAGTGCCAATAAAAAACTCAATGTTCAAATGTTCAATGCACCACGTTACGTCCTGAAAGTCTTCCCTTGGATCTCAGGTCCGTTTAGCCAGGAGTAAAGACGGTTCATATGTCTGCAGTGGTCGATGTCAAAGGTCCGACATTAAGACTTTGATGAATTCCTTATTCAGAAGGTTTTGGATGCAAGTCTGCAAGTATGATACTGTCTCCATGATACATGTCAGCGGCACTGTTTCCTCTATAAGTCACTGAGAGGTCCAAGAGCCTTGGACCTGCAGTGATAATGAAAGGGAGGAAAAGAGAGAAAGGGAGGTGGGTCAGAGGGGGGTGTGGGTGTGTGTGTGTGGGGGGGGGGGGGTATCCCCCATATTGTTTCAAATCAGACAAAAAGAAAGAGTCACATTCTCTCAAAGTTGCTGAAGAATGTGAGCCCCTCCACTAATAAGAATAGAGAGGCATTTTATGATGATAATAATATTATTGTGACACCTGTACCTAATTGAAATTAATGTGTTAATAAGTGGCAAGTCACAAGAACAGCCAGCTTTCAAAACTGATTACCTTATTTACATGCTCATTAAAAAAGAAAACAGCATACATCGTAATTGTGATTGATAGGCAGGCGGCACTGACTGCTAGAGAGAGTAGCCACCAGAACACATTACTGCTGACGGGGCAGTGACAGGCTGACGGTGCCCTGGCAGGCAGTTGCTGGTAAGTCAGGCTTGACATGTAGGTTATCTTGGACAATGCTCTCATTGTAGCCACAACCAATGCCTTTCTGTGTCAGAAGGGTCATTAGAAAAACAAGTCAGTCAGAAAAACTGCTGGAGTGTATCGGGGGGAAAAACGAGTAAGAGGGGTCAATCCTGACATCATTGATGTTATTGTTGTCATTTCAACCACCGTTTGTTACAAACATTTCTACATGATGACGCAAGTTATGGTTGTAAATATATTTATTCAAAAATGAAATAAGCCATAGATATCATCGAAGATGTCAAAGGTAACTGTAACGAGAATACTTCACACGTGACCAAAGCATTTTCAATGTGGAGCAGAACATATTTGTGTCATCCTTTAGGAAACTGTTGAGCTGTTAGCCTCTCCTTCATCTCGATGAGCCAGTAGCACTCTATGAATGTTCTGAGGGACAAATAGAAAGGAAGAGAGAGGGGATTAAGAGATAGTTTAGGTAAACCAAAAGGTTAAAAGGGAGGAAGAGATGACAACAAAAGGTGAATTGGAAGGAGGTTTGATGCACATGATGGTGGACAGTGAGGACAGTGAGGACAGTGGTCACAGCAGCAAGCAGTGTGCTATTTGTGGATTCCAAACTACCAAACATTGTTTTAGGGGAACAAATCACAAACAGATGTGTGTCCAGACTTACTACAAGCTGAAAGTGTGTTGAGGTCTCCATCAAATCCTGGATGAAAGGGTGCAGAGAGAGAACGGAGAAGGGGATACAGTCTTCAGGCATGTAGCCCAGCGCTCTGAATATATGCGCCAGTTGCTAAGGGCAAGCAGAGAAGAGAAGAACCATTAGGGAAGAGTTTCCTTTTACTAAAATGGTTAATAATTCTAATCAGAGAACAATTCCTCAAAAAATTACAGAGTACAGATAACCCAGAATCATTCAATTACATCTATTAACAGCTCAAGTATATTGCTTTCATTTAATCCCGGGCATTGAAAAAAGGTTTAGTGTCATTTATTTGAAGTGAACTATGTTATATAAGGTGTGGACTGTCCCCTTCATATTTTAAAATTGTTTCGAAACATTGATGGTGAACAGTAGAAAGCAAAATAGAATACTTAATCTTCCTGAGGGATAAATACATTCTGCTGAATTGAAAATGAAGCCTTTCATATTTTAGTACATTAAGTCGATATTGTATTCCTTATTGAATTGAACTACTAATTTGTGCATTTCCTTTAAAGCCCAGTTTGATCTGTTATACCTCAGTGTGCTCCTCTTGACTCAGGCAGTCTGGAGGAAGGTGGATGACGTCTTTTATTTTGGTGACTTTATGGAAGATGACAGCGAGGAGAGCAGGGATGGACACTTCCTGTTCCCCCAGCAGACTGCTTGATGCTAACGCACACTCTGCTTCTTTGTAGTCTTCATCCAACTCTGTAGCCTCTTCTATATTGGGCATCGACTGTGTGTATAAAGCATACTGAAGTAATACTGTTGAATTCAAGTGCAATAGTCTGTACTGAAAAGAACACTCACTTGTTTCTTTCCAAAACAAATCACCAACCACAAAAATATCTGATGCATAAAAAAGAATCTTGTTGGCATAACTGAAAATAATAAAATGGGTTTCTCATATAACATTTGATCACCTGAAGACATCTGTGACAGGAAATAACAATGTTTGTGACTAAAGAAGATGAAGAAAAGGTGCTTTTGCAATGATTTTGCCTTTCATTCGAGCATGTTTGTGCTTTCGTTATCTCACCTTGACAAGATGTCCCTGGGAGGAGTGCTTGAGATGTTGTCCTAGCACGACACTGAGCGCTCTGATGAAGCCCTGTCTGGGGTTAGGGTCGGCTGCAAAGTACTGCAGCATGGTTAAATAATCCAGTCGAGATGGAGAGAAAGAGTGGTCCGCAAACAACTGGAAAAAAAACTAAGAAGGAAGATGGTTCTTTTACTTTTACGTTTGTTGTGTGCCATGACCACTTGAATTTCCCATTTCATGAATATTTATATTGGTTTGGATTGAAATTGTCAGACTTAGCAGGATGTTACCTTGCGTAGGTTAGCCAGACGGTCATAAGGTAGAGGCTCTGAGGGGTCTTCTGGGACGGGCAGGACACTCTCACTGGAAAACCACAGCTCGGTCTGGTGAGAAAGGACGAGTAACTTCAACATTTATTTTTATTTTCAGGATGCTTCAGTTTTCACAAAAACAATATAAAGTATACAGTATATAGTGTTGTGTCTGATTTGTGTGTGTGTGCAGAGACCTGTAGGTATTTCTCCTCGTTTATATAGCCTGTGTTTCCATGATCTGCTGCCTTGAAGCGTTGGAGCACAGTCAGCAGCTGTGACAGGGAGGGGAATGGCCAAGGGAGGGCAGCACTGAGCAGAAACTTACGCCAGTCTATCAGCTCATATTCATCTGTTAGCAGAGACACAATCTCCATCATCTAAGGGGAGGAGAGAAAAGGACAACTCTCCTGTAAGCAATGTGATGGTTCTTTTCTTGTAACAGGACGGTGTGGTGAAGGAGTTATTTTGTCTTGCTCTACTTTCTCTAGGTTGTAGTCAGCAGAGGGATTATTAGAATTAGAATTTGATGCTGTGAGAAATGGCAAATATAATAGAATACATAATTTGTGCTCTTGTGTTTTTGAGTGTCTGGAATAATTGAAGAGTACCTGTGTTTCATTCTGTTTAATCCAGGGCTCAGGCAAGGTGTTTTTGCCCAGTGTAACAACTATGAGATCCCTGAGCAAACTGTCAAACTCAAAACTGGATATGAGGCCTAAATGTTCAAAAGGAAGGGAAAGGATGGGTGTCAAATAGCAGGACTTATAGACCCATAACATTACATCCTGTCAGCTCTGTATTAACCTGATGGAGCAACGTTGCATAGCTGTTGGTGGAGGGACTGTAGCTGGGTGATTGTTGGGGTGGACCCTGTGGGTTTCTCCAGAGGAGCAGGGCGGGGAGGCGGAGCCGGGCTAGCCACCATGAGGCAGTCTCCATTCTGGTAGAAGTCAGTACATTCCTGGAAAAAAGAATATAGAAGAGTTAGAGGAGATTGTGGTTCACTGTCAAATGTCACATGCTGGAAAAACAATTGAAGTGTTATCCTCTAACTACCCTTCAACCAGTGAGCTCCACAATTAAGATATGGGAAGAATTTTTAAATATCTTACAAAAAAGTAAACAACCTTTAAAAATGCATTACATACCAACACCAGTTCAAATGTCAACTTATCACCAGCCTCAATGTGATGGCGGATCACTTCGGAGAGTTGATCAATACTAGAGAAAAGAGACACATGCAACATCAAACAGGACGTTTGGGGACAGAAATCTAATGTTTCACAAGAATTATGTATTTTTGTATTTATTCAAAATAATAAAATAACGAGGACAGTAACTCACTATTCATACAATTCAATTATGGGTCCAACATACGAGCACATTGACTTTATAGCATTATGACATGGAGGCAAAATAAAGACAGCATTTATAACACTAATCAGAAAAAGAAAAAAAGATAATACAGGGAGAGCAGTGCAGTGTTACATTATTGCTGCTTTATTCACATTCAAATATCTCTTCATGCACATGTAGCCCACACAATACCATACATTGACCCACACTGAACTGTACCATACCTTTTCATGGCTGGAAGATAGTGGGCTTCTAACCACTTCTCCATGTTGCTTAAAGTCTCCTCTGCTCTGCTCTGCAGGGAGTTCACTATCCTCAGACCGTGACCTTTTACCAGCGCAATGCGCATTTTTGCTGCATTCTCTAGAAAACACACACATGCATACAGCAAGACAAACAGAGGAACACAACCACATAAGTATAATGATTTTTTTACACACATATACATGTATGTTTACAGTAAGCACAAAAGTACACACATGGATACACATAACAAGAGACTCACCTGCATGTATATATATCATAGTATACAGTTCTTACAGCCACTTAGAACATTAAAAACATGTATACCCTCCTGAGACCCACCCATTCATTTTTGTCTCCTGTGGAGGACATTTGGTTTTGGTCCATAACTATGAGGTTATACATGCCACAGCATTAAGTCCAATTGTACTCCACAGAGGACATCCTGGGCTTTTCAAACATATGACATATGTGGGGGTGTGGCTTTGAAAAAGATAATTTCATTGTATTTCAAAATGGCGTCCATCAACACAAGCACTATTTATAGAAAGAGAAATGGTAAGTTTGTAATTTTGTAATTACCAGTGTTGTGAGTTCAATATTTTAATTAATTATAGTAAGGGAACATCTTAGGAGTTAGTGTAGTGAGTTTCAGAGCAATGTGTTTATGTTTATGAATGTCCTCTGAGGAGGGCATGGGGATTTGCTAACTTTTTATTTCCCCCATTTTACACAACACAAATGGAGTCCACTATGGGCCAAAACTAACATGTAGGTTTCTGTAGGGTTCATGGCAGACGGATGCAGTGGGAAAACATACATCAAGTGCCTCAAGTGTCAGATGTATCTCTGCATTTCAAAAAAGGATGGAGTTCTACAAATGAGGGCTCAGTATTTGTTGCATTGAGTTGTTGTGCTCTAATGTTGTCTAAATGTACTTGTATGTTAATGTTGTTTGTATACTATGCTTCGCATAACTAACACCCGATGTCCTCTACAAAGGACACATAATAAAACAAAAATAAAAATATATATTTTTAGTTTTTGTTAGTCATTATGTTTATACCACCCTAAAGACTTGTGTGATCAAAAAAAGGAAATTTGAAACCTTTTTCTTTCTGGGTCTCAGGACATATATGAAGATTAAATATATTGTTATTGTGATAAATAGAGAAACTACTGAAACTGCAGCGCATACCCTCTTGAGCCAGTGTGGCAGCATATTCTTTATGTATTTTCAGTTTGACATCTTCATGATGAGTATCAGGTGGTGCAGGGCTGGGTTCACAGGGGGGGGATGGTGGACCTGGAGGAACAAAACTTGGATAAAATAATGATGAAAAATACCTACTTTTTCAGAAACAACATGTTAGAGGGCACTTCTCCACGGCTTCCTTAATACTCTGCAAATTACATACCTTTCTTATCTTCGGATGACTTCTTCCCTTTTGCGTTTTTGTTTGCATCTGCAGGGGCCTGCTGTGCCTTCTCCTTCTCTTGTGGTTTCCCCTTCTTCTCTTTCATCTCCTGGTGGGCTTCTGCTGATACCTACACACATGTATAACCCATACACGTCAGGAATTAAAATAAATATGACTGTATATATATATACCCCCTTATTTACTTATGCAAACTGTCACAAACAAGAATTACCAATTTGCTGATGCCTCTGAGTACCTCCGTGTAGTCAGAGATCAGTTTATCTTGGGGAAGCTAGAGGTAACAATGAAAACAGTCAGTTTCTCTTATCATTAATTAATCATCACTGAGTGTTTTTAAATATTTTGAAGAACATTTTCTTTCAAATGTATTTAAGAATGACAAAACTAAAATGTCAACCATAAACTGTCTTAAAATATGGTACAGCTTGAAACATTACAAAGATAACTGGAATAATATATATTGTAGTCTTTGTGATTTTGACTAAAATGATGAAAGTTATATTCAGGATGACTGAGGGATGCCCTGACCTTGACAGGTTCCGTCTGATCCTGGATTTTCTCCTTGGAGTCGGGACTGCAGAGTAGGAAAAATGGGAGAAGAGGAGGACATTTCTTATGTGTGCATGTGTTTGCGGGAAGGATTTGAACTGTGAGAAAATGATAACATCCATAATGTCTTCTAAACCAGTTTGCAGTAAACGTAAAGTTAATGCTGTGTGTGATTGTGCATCATCCTTACATTTGAATTGTACTCTTATCCTATCTGACTGCACAGTTGCTCAGTACTGAGCAAATAGATCTTTCACTGACTGCAGTTATTTCTAATCATTTACTATTTACAGTTTTGTAGGTTTTTGACATATTTAGGTTGTTATGAATAGTATATTTCTTGCCTCTCGTCCTGATCCTTCACCTCTGGGAAGTCAAGAAGGGGGATACAAGCCAACCTGGAGGGTAGCTTAGGCAGCACCTCTCTGCACATGCTCAAATAGTAGACTCTTAGAATACAGAGTGTATCCTGGAGACGGTCTGACTCTACCTACACAGCACAGTGTATCCAAGGTTACGGTCACACAAAAGATTCATTGAATATTCCTACTGCACACATCATTAGAAAAGGACTGAAAACAAGCAGTGCAACAGGTATACAACAAAAAACATAATCCATTATATGAGTAAATGTTTGTTCAGTCAAATAGTTAGAAGATGAAAATGAGGATGCACCTGCATGAGTTTAGAGTGACAGTTGATGAGGATGACCGTGTGTTCCTCCAACCAGCCGTCCCCCATGAGAGCGGCCTTCTCTTGCTCGTCCTCCTCCTTACACTTGTCACTAATGTCCCAAAGACGTTCACGCAGTTCCTGTACACATGTCATAGTGTCGCCACAAGTTTTAAGCAGGTTTTATACCATTTTCATGATCAAATCAAGAATAACTGTATTGTATTAGAAATTGTTCTCACATCCAGTCTCAGATGCAGCTCTGCTTTGGTATCCTCGTCTTTCCTCATATCGTCAGGTATGCTGTTGAAGTCCTTTTGCCAATGAGACACCAACTCCTGCCTTAAGTCAGGACGTCCCAGGTAATGCTTGTAGTCCTCTCTACAGGGAACCATGGAATTACATATTAATACATGTAAACATATATCAGAGACAATTATTTTAGGTCTTATATTTTAACATAATTTTCCTCTTTTATTTGTAAAATATTTCTGATAAAGGACCATACGTTTAGAACATTTGGGTCACATCAACCTAATTAACCTAAAAATAAGTGTTTTCAAAATACTGAACTTACATACTGCATTTTTTTAATGGATTATAACCATTGTAGCAAAGATGTACAGCAACCCACACTGTTTTTTATTTACAAGGCATCAATGTGTTGCTTTTCATGTTATCAGATACACAGTTGTAAGAATGTACTGACATTTAAAAGCCAATAATGTAACTTCAGCGATGGATATCAAATATAAAAAGGGAGAAAAGACATGCATTGTGAAAATGCTTTGTTATGAGTTTGTTTGAACTGATTGTTCTCAAATAAACCTTGTCCACACTACTACAAATCAGTATACCTGATGTTGAATAGGTGATGGTTAATAACACTGCTTTGCGAGCGGATCTGCTGCATTACTGTCTTTACGTTTTTCACATAGGAATCACACACTGTGTCCCAATGGGGGCACATGAACCCTGGGACTTCCTAAAAATAGAGAGGGGGAGGGAAAAGATGAACATAGCAGGGGGCATGGATAGAGGGCAATCAAACAAAACAGTATATAGTGTTATGCAAGAGATTTGACGGAAGAAGATGACACTTTACATGTACTGTATCTTCAAATAATTAAAACAAACTATGCAAGGCAGGGTACCACAACTGTTTCTTAGAGAGGAAGTTCATCTCCAACTCTGATAAGCCAAACAAACAAATACTAATAAAAGAGTATCCTACTGGAGGAAGGGGTTCATCCACATATTCCCAGCTGGAAGGACCTGGGCAGGGAGACTCAGGTGGGTTTACTGGGACCCCCTTAGAGTCTTCATTGATCACTGAGGACATGGATGCCTTCCTAGAGTGCCCTATTGAGAAGTCAGACGAAAAGTCATTAAATCATCACAATAATAAAGATGAAGAATCTTGTTTTCCGATGGTCAGAAGACACAATGTACGACTACTGATCACATCCTGGGGAGGTAAAGCTTGTTTTGGAAAGGGACTTTAGACTTTGTGCTTTTTCCTCACTTAAGTTGGTTTCGGACTCTGTGGGGTCGGGGGCTTCGTGTGAAACGTCCTGAGGTTGGCCTGCAGGTGGAAGTTCAGCTGAAGAGGGGGAGTCAGGAGCTTTCCCACTGTCCAACATTACATCTTCAACAGGAGAAGTAGCCAGAGCTGGTGAGGGAATATATCGGAAGGTTGTGAGTAAATATTGTGTTTCTTTCGTCATCAGTGTCTGATAAAACATAGTACTTGTATTTTTTATGTTATGTAAGAAAGAAGAAAAGTATTCTGAGTCTACATACATTTCAAATAATACTAAAATGAAAACATGTTACCTTCCTGTGTTTGCATCCAAACTTGCTGCAGGACAGACTCCATCCTTTCGTAAAGCTCATCTTCGTTCACATCTGCATCAATACGGACCAGAATGCTTTGCTTTTCACCAAACCAATCCTCTAGTTTGGGCCAGGTGTCTTCAAAACCTGCAATTCTTAAAGGGAAGGGGAAGATGTTATGCATTAGACAGACAGACAGATAGACAGACAGACAGACAGACAGACAGACAGACAGACAGACAGACAGACAGACAGACAGACAGACAGACAGACAGACAGACAGACAGACAGACAGACAGACAGACAGACAGACAGACAGACAGACAGACAGACAGACAGACAGACAGACAGACAGACAGACAGACAGACAGACAGACAGACAGACAGACAGACAGACAGACAGACAGTAAATCAGTGGCAGTATTGTATTCATTTCAGTTTTTACCTGTGAGGAATCTGTGCCAGATACAAGGTCTTGTCTTTGGGACAGGCACTATCTTGATCTGCACCAGGTTGGGGGGGTAAGAGAAACACCAAAACATATTATTTATATTTAACTGGTTATTCGTGAATGTATTCATACACGCACGATCTAACAGTTACTTTATGGGAGCACAAAGCCACAGATACTTGGCATTATAAGATAAGATAAGATGGACTTTTATTATTCGCCGTGGGGAAATTCAGGAGTTAAAGCAGCCACAGAGTGAGAGTGAAAAACAGGACAGTACAAACTCACTATATATACTATAAAATATATATATATCAAACTCCCACCAGTGTAACATACCTGTATGACTGAAAGCTCGTCTGATCACACACTCCTCAGGGATGTCCAGCAGCAGAGCCAGGTCCAGTACAGGAGGTGGGGGTGTTGGAGGTTCGGGTGGATTGGGATCAGCAGCAAGGTCTGTCCTGCTGTTCACAACACAATTCCCTTCATCTACACACCCACCCAGGGCTCTCTCTAGCAGGAAGGCCTGGGTGATGTCCAATGGAAAGCCATCCAGGATCCATCCTGACTGAGCTGGAACCTGCCTATTAAGGACACCAACAATATGTCACTGTCAGGAGAGTGATCATGGGGGTTTGTTTATTATACATTTTATTCAAACTGTTTGTAAAAGTAGGACTGTATCCTTGACATTTCTCTGGACTATTGACTGTCAAATTAATTGAATATGGTAAAATTAGTATACAGTTGACTAAATCACATGTTCTGTTTTTAATATCAATACAGTTAATGAGTTTACCTGATAGCCTCTACTATGATGTCCACTACCAGATCATAAGGGATGGGGTTGCCTTGCCTCAGCTCTTTGTCTGCAGCCGCTCCCTGCATGGCCCGGGTAGACAGCTGCTCAAGAAACACATGTAAACAGGAATTAGTTAAATAAGTTTCATTCCAGATAGGTCCACATTTAATCTGAAAAAAAATGTGTTTTTTACTCAATATTCTCAAATGATTACATTCAATAAAAATTCATAATTTTGTATCATCAATGATAACGGTTGAAAGTTGGTTAGCGGTATACATTGTATACAGGTTACATTATTGTCAGCAGATCACAAACAACACTCACTCTTAAGGTGCTCTTTCTACTTGTCTCTTCAGTTTCAAGGTCTGAAAAACAATTAAATTATGAGTATCACGTCAAAAAAACAAATTAGTGAAATGCTTCATATGCAGTGCATTTTTATCAGAAGCAAAAAACACTATGATATACAGTACATTAAAGTGTAGCATACAATTAAATCACGCTGGCTTCAGTAACCCACCAGGCTCCAGTGATGTGCAGGATGTGAGCAACTGTTCATTGCCTTTCTCTTCCTGCTCTTCTGTGACCCGTACCTGATGTTTCAAGTTAAAATGTTTAAGATCATTGAGGTTTTAACAGGTTTATACATTTTGGCACCAGCATTAACAGCTACTGAGATTTTCTGATTCAGATATTCTCATGAAAAGTCCTTTAAATCTTAATGATGTGATAAGAATAAATACAAAATTGAATACTGGTGAAGTTACCATCCTGTTATACTGTATCTGACAAACCTGTTCTCCATTTCGGTTAGCATCCAGCGCCTCTTCAATGAGCGTGTCCGCTGATAGGATATTGATGCCATGGGCTAGAGCAGGAAACAACACACATGCTCAGCACACCATACTTTCTTATACCAAAAATGTTTTGACTACAGTTTATCACTCCAGTAAATATGTAATTAAGTGGTGTGAAATTGTGTTTGTGCGAATGCTTGCATCTTTGTTCTGATCACATGCTGTGTACCTTCAGCCAACTTGGCCAGGCAGGTGGTCTTGCCAGAGCAAAGCTTTCCCAGGACACAGGCCTTAAAGGTAAATTGAGGAAATGAGGGTGAGGAGGGTTTAATGATGGGTTGATGAACCATGTTCCTCAGTCGTTGGACAACGTGTCCAAGAATGTTGTTGTTGGTCAGGGGTAGTTTGGTCTCCCCTGCTTCCTCTGGCCATGCCCACTCATCTACCATGTTCTGAAAAAGTGACATTGTGGCCAAGTCAAAGAGGATCTTCACGCTCAGATGAAGCAGTTAATCGCTTCAGTTCAGCGTTTGTGGGAATACACACAAACAAGATCTGAAAACTCACTCCACTTGCTTTATAAACTCACAGTGTATTCATCATAGTCCTGGTTGTTCAGTATCTCCTGCTTCTCAAGTTCTACAGGATCTAGTGAGGGAGTGAACTCAATCTCTGGCTGCTGGCAGTTTATCGGCTCATAGAGAGGCAGACCATTGAACAGCAGTTCTTTCCACTCTCTCATGGACTTCTCTGGGATCTGACTGGACATGACAGCAGAACAAATTATAGAAGGCAACGCTAGACTACAAATGTCCAAATGTATTTACATTGAATCAAAAATGTTTTGTCAATTGAGCCATAATAATGATTTAACCCAACTGTATTTCAATAATGTTTCATCTTAGAGTTCATATGATAGATATGTCAAATCTAGTGGAATGCACAAATCTATACAAAGTGATTGTTAAGAATGGTTGTGTAGGGAGTGCATATATTTGGATATTATGTATTTGATAGTAAGAAGATTTAGACAGGATGTCAACACTTCCTGATTATATTTAACTACACTGGTCAGTTCCCATGTTGTTGATCTTTTCACAAGTTTATGACTCACAAAACATTTAGTTAAAAACAACCTTGCCCCTATGGTTTATTTTTGTATCTGTTGTGTTTTGCTTTATCGATGCCCTTCATCAATTTATTTTGTGATTTTTCTTTTGACCGTTTCCTGCCTTGAATTAATTCAAGCTGAACTTTCCTGTTCAATTGTTTTATTTGGTGTCAGGTTTTTGGGTGGTAGAGTCATTAGCCCATGTTTCATTATGTTGGTATAGTTCATTGTACCAACTGTGTCATCTTGTATACTCATTTAAAAATAGAGAAAATTGTATTCTGATCAATTAAAACAAATTAGATTATTCACTGCTGTACTGTTAAATGTGTTCAAGCATTGATAAATACCTCAAATAATGAAGTAGACCAAGTGAAAATGTATTTAAAACAACAGTAATTTCAACTCTTAAAATGTGATTGCTTAAATTACTTTTACAATCATTGCAGATGAAAGTTGATAACAATAATTGTGTGACATACTTCTCAGTGAGCTGTCGGTATTCTCCAACCTTGGTGCTCAAGTCCACTATCTGCTCCAAAATGTCCTTGCAGCTCTTAAAGTGCTTCTTGTATCTGCTCTGAGCTCGCTCAGCAGCATTCCTCTTACAGAATTCACGCTCCTTTAGGATATCTTCGGCACGGTCCAATTTAGCCTGCTGAGCCAAAGCCTATACCAGACCCCAGTCAGAGAAATGAAATAAGTGGAGAAGGCAGGATGTAAATGGTTCTACTGGTTACCACAGTTAGTCAGTAAGTAAAGAAGGAAATTGAAAGATGTCACATAGGTCATTTATTGTGCAAAAAACACGTTTTACTGTGTTTCCACACAAAGACACAAAGCAACAGACATGGCTGATATTAGAGGTTGCAGAAAAAAGGGAGAAATGTAAATCTTTGTAAGTAAGGATTAATACAGTTTACTAATTTGCCAATAGACACAGCATCAATAATACCACATTAAAGCTTTAACATTTATGTACATTCAATTATATATATTTGTTCCTAAATCATCTAAAATGAGCTTGACAATCTGCTCTGAGATTAATTGAGACATAACACCAGGACCATACTTTACTAAAACATACTGAATATTTAACACTGAAACCATGCTGGACCATGGCTGCATCCTTTGCGAATCATTTATCCAGGTATCTGCCTTTATTTATGAATTATATAGTCTAACTTTACCATTTATCTGTCTTTCTCTCTCGTCAGAATACCAAAAGCCTGGTTGATAACTACTTAAATACATCCTTTCTTCTCTTCCTATTACACCACCCATACTATCAATTACAGCCTAATACAAAATGACAATAGAGAGAATTATTCTTCTTCGTTATTCATCCTATCTCACCGCCTCCCTCTCCAGAGCTTCCAGGAAGTCCTTCTCTCTCCGCTGCTGGTACTGCTGCTCTCTGAACAGGCGGTTCTCCCGTATCACATCCTTCTGCATGCGTATCTGGAGAAGCTGAGTTGCCAAACGATGCTCCTGCTGGGTCTGACGTGTCAGACGCTTCACCAGCTGCTCATCTCGCCGGGCATCCTGCAGTGTGAGGAATAGGTGGCTGATCAATTAAGGAATGTCAAATAACACACTGTGAGAGCATAGCCTGTATCAGATGTATCTGAAACATTTTCAACTTGAAGTTTCACCTCTTGAGCTTCATGGGCCTTGAGCTGCTCCACCAGGAATCTGTCCCGTCTTTTCTCTCTCTGCTCACGAGCTCCAGCACTTTCCTCAAGCCTCTGTCGGATATTTTGTATATACTTGCTATTAGATTGTAAAGTCAGCTTAGTTCCACTTTCAGGGACCTCACAGCCCTGGCTGCTGCCACCAGGAACAACATCTCTAGGGACAGGCTGACCACTAGAAATGAAAAAGTTCAATACACACTTGTAATCATTGTCCCAATGTAAGATTTTATCAGGTTGCAAAACAACCAAAGCAATACAAAACAAATGAAGGGAATGTTCCCTATTTTCTCACCTTGAAGAGGAAGGAACAGCATAAGTAAGCAATTTCTTCCTTGTCTCGAACTGGGCTATTTCAGTCTTGACAGTCTGCAGACAAAAATGAATAACAATTGCAAAAACCAGAAGGACAAACAGACCCATGTCACTCCTTTACTTTTTGTGTATGCTGTGAAAAGTTAAAGGATTTTTTGTTGAACTCATGGCATGACAATTGCATTAGAGGTAGTATTGTATACAGAGGGTCATCTGTTGAAATTCCTTCTTAATCTGGAATATCCCAAAGAAAAACTTGGCAGAGAATTTGAATTAGAATGAATCTCCCCTCTGCAAGTGTTAAGCAATAACAAGCTTTTAGCAGTGACTGGGAACATATGGCGAACAAGACGAACACAGAGTTGTTGGGCCTGGATTGCTAAAATTGTGTGAAGGATATTTTTGAATGTCCATTGCAAGCATCTGCTTCTACAAACTCTATGCATACTTCTCTATAGCCATCAATGAAATTCCCTCTTTGTGTTGGTACATTTTCACATCATTCTTTAATCTGAATCCCACCTGCGCTTCTTGTTCATGGCGTTGATGCTGTTGTTGCCTTCTTTTAAGGTTGAGCTGTGAAGTGTAGGGAGGTGGCTTGGGCACCTGGACAGTAGCGGCCTGGTTACAAGTAATGATTTGTTTTTGCTTCTGACGAGACACCAGCAACTGCAACATAAACAGTTTCCACTCATTAGCATGACCCTTCTTTGCATCCATCAAGCGTCTGTGGCTCAATTCTAGTTGTATCAGCCGGGACAATATGTGAAGAGTTTATAAAGATATAACTAAAGATGGCCTTGAAGTCTGGTCAACAATTAATACAGGAAAAATGTACTACAATACTGCATTTGACTTTAAATGGTTTCCAGTACCTTCTCACTGTTGTTCATTCTCTTCTCATCCTGGACTCTGAGTGGTCTCTGTTGCTGGATGGGACGGGTCATCTCCAACCTGTCGTCCATTGGCTGGTACTTCTCTTCATAGTGCTGCGAGATTTTCTGTAGCTTTTGATCTGCATCACGCTTTACCACTTGATGCAGTCGCTATGTCAAAAAAGAAAAAAATATGCTTAATGTAACTGATGATATTGATTGCTTCTTGTAGATATAAGATTAAGTTAAACTAAATAAAAACTTTAAAAAATCATTGAAAGAATAAAGGGCAGACCACAGAGTAGTAGTTCCACTTAGCTCAATATGGTTTTACAGAAATAAAATGTGCTGTTGCCATAAGAAATAGGCCCGAAACCAAATGCACAAACTACAGTTACAGCTTGACAGTCCCCCTTACATCAGAGTAGATTTCATGCTCCTTTTTGTGCAAGCCTGCTTTGGCTGCGGGTTGCATTATTTCCATCAATGTGCCACTGATGTCTCCTTTCTTCTTCTTTTCAAGGGTGACATAGAGCTGGTAGAGGAGGCGTGTGGCAACACCCTGCTTCTCCTGCATCAGGTCCTGAGCTGTGTTCAGGTTGAAGGAGATCCCAAGTAACTTGAGTGTGGGCTCAAGGCGGGTGAAATTATTCAGTCTGGAGATGGAGGTGCTATGAAATAAGATAACTTTCATTATTTAATTATTACTATGAGAAAACTTTAAATGAGCTGGAAAAATAAGTAACCGTCTGCTTGTTTTTCAACAAAAAAACAATTGATTATTGATATGTAGATAAATAGATAGATAGATACTTTAATGATCCCAATTTGGGAAATTCTTTCATTACAGAAGCAGCAGTGTGTTCAGACATTAAAATATAAATACTTAAAAAGTGGAATAGAGAATTAACAATTAAAAATAAAATGATAGATAGCAAGAGGAAGAAAGAGGGCAACTTACTCTTTTTTCATAAACATACTGAAATCATTTTGCATCTGATATTTATGAAGAACTTCCCCAATTAGGTAGCCACTGGAGAAATCCTTGGTAAAGGACTTTGGCTCTGTGAAGGTTAACATGCGTTAATGTACTCAAACAGTGACAATTTCAACATGTGATATTCTTTTATGCTTCAAACTGAAAACATGTTGAAAAACCATTAAGTTATCGAAAGTGTTTAAAATGACATGTTCACTACCTAGCAAGTAACTATGGGTTTTCATGGTTTCCCCAAATGTTTTATTGGCCCTTTTTTATCGTTGCTAATGACACATCATAGCCTACCAATCAATATCACTTGACTGTGTTGATAAGTCATCAACTGTCTTTCTAATTCGACGTGTAGCTTCCAAAATGGCGCTGTCAGAGTTTTCAAATTTAACGTTAGAGTTAATTAGGCTAGCAGGTAGCTAGATAGATAGCGATAACTTTGTTTACACTTACCAATCGCTTTTGACAGCTTGAGTTCCTCGTTCAGCCACCTGCACAAAATATCCGTCATCTTATGTCTTTTAATTAAAACCCAGACTATATACTACTGCATAATAATGGACATGGTTGAAGTTAATCGTAGGAGCTCGATAATAACTGTTGAAAAACAGCCGAGGAAATCCCAAGGCAAGGGGGCATTGTTGCCATGGTGACGCGTCAACAGAGTTGCCCAGCACGCGGGGGGAGGATCAAGCTGGCCCTGAATCAGTTTTCTTTTCTACGCTCAAAATAATGGTGGGATGCAATGACTGCAAACTGATCCAGAACCTGTACAACTCCACACTTAAGAGGGCCATCAGGGGCGTTTGTATTTTTAGCAGCACTTCACTGCAGCCATCCTTTTGCAAATTAGAGAATTAAAGAAAATAATCACTTGTGTGTAGTGTATGTGTATTGTACTACTAAAACCTATAACCCATTGGTTATGGTAAATGGCAACAGAATATCTGTATAGAAGTGGAAAATAAAACATATTGACAAACTGACAAGTTGCCAGACAAATGACTTTATTGCATTTAAACAAGCAGCATTTCGATTTGTGTTATAAGTGTTAACATGTATTTATTAACTCAGAAGCACATTGTTTTTTATCCATAGTTAAATGTTCTGCAAAATATCATGACAATTCAAATGAAATGAAAACCTTTTTCAGGAACACATATTTTCAGTCATGTTGTTGTGCACAACATAAGTCAATGCAATTTTTTTTAAGCTATAAGGTAACATAAACATGGTGTTTAAAGGATTTACCAGCCACTTTTTTGTAGTAATAGTAGTAATAGTTTATACAACATGCATCATTTCACATAAAACATCCAAGACCAGAGATGAATACTTGTTAGGCAGCAAGTGTACCCTGCTGTAAACCGAACAGAAGTGTAACTTTCCACAGTGTAAGCATCGGTTCAAATACAAAATGTAGGTGGACCATAGAAAACAGGTAGCGGGCTAAACGGAAATTTGCATGTCAGCATGTAAGAGTCTGCATAGTGTTACCAATAATTACAATTTGTCTGGCAAGTGATACTGCTGTGATAAGGTAGTAGAATACATTTTATAAGCAGCCAGGATCACAATTCTACATCAGTTTACATGATTGTATCGACAAAAAGCTTCTATGTATATAAGTACACAACAAATATACAGACAAGTGTGATGCTTTTATATATCAGAGGACTTTACATATCTGGTGTCGCCAAAACAAACATTTGCTCTTCTTCTCACAAGAGAGCTGGTAAGTCAACATTAACTCTGCTTTTTGTAGAATAGGTAATATCAATTTGATTTTTGTAAGAGAAAATAAATGAAAGAAATTTACAAATATGTACAATTAGTTGTATAAAAACAAAGATTTAGAGAAAAAAATAAAAAGGTGACATTTTTGTTCATACAAATCAACCCAAAAGCATGTAACACATAGCATTTATAGGTTAGTCTGCAAAGCAGAGTTTGTTTGAGAAAGCAGTCATGTTTAAATACTTAAAACACACTTTAGCACTGCCTTGACGTTCACTGATCTCAAACTGGTTGTTTTACCCCTTATTCAATATGATAGTGAAAGCTGTAGCTTTTATCTTTTATTTTTAACCATTTTCCCCAGTTAAAATTAACATCAGTGTTACAAGACAAAGTAAAAGGAGACGTTTTTCTCAGTAGTCAAAGAGGACTGCCTGCACTGCCTGTCATTAATTCATCATCAGTGAAGCCATCGATACTAGTCAAAGTCCTCATTCATATCACAGTAGTTTTACTTAAAGCTTGTTGGCTGGAGGCACTAAGAAACAGTAACCAAGGGCTGCCACATGGGCCTGAGAGATATGGTAAAATAAACATCCTGTTTACCGCTGGATTAGAATATAAAATATTATTTGAAAAATCATACTTTTGGGAATCCTCGGGCTGTTTGACCCATAATGGAGATGATGAATTGCTTTCAAATTAAGAATATTCACAAGGCCATTTCAACACATTTTTGTCACTAGAAGCATTTCAAGATTCCTTTTTCCAAGAGGCGTTGAGATAAATAAAGGGAATAAAAACATTTTACATTTGAAAACAAACATGTTTTGTAGACTTAGATCTTCCAAAAAATAAACAAGCGTTCACTCACAACAATGTGGTAATTTTATTTTAACCAAAGTTTTAAAAAAAATCAGCGCTTACTGAAGTTGATTAAAAGGGACTACTTTGTAGATGTTACGCACGGTGCCAGAGGATTCTGGTTGTCCAATAAAATAAAGCTTTTATTGTAAAACTTTTTTTTCCCTTATACATAACATTTAGGAGCAAGGCATTGTGTGAAAATTAAGTTGATGCACAAGACTGGAAGCATTATATTTATCAAGGCAATTGAAACACTGCAAATAACCATCCAAGTTAATTAACATAATCTGTCTAATACCAATTATCAACTTGAGGATAAAGCAAATCACATAGCTACATAAAAAAGGATACTGACCTTATTCTAAAATAAATACATTTTCAACAAAAGAAATACTGCAAAAAACCTATTGGTTAAGGAAGAAAGTAACATATCAGTGTGTTAGTAAATTAATCTGTTTGTATTCATGTTCTAGCTTATATCAGTGTATATATCCACAGGACTCATCACCCTTACAATTCCAGACCATTACAGACAGCACCACTTGTGTATCTGTGTAAAATATTAACTTTTCTTATTTAAAAGTTCATCTTTCAACATCCCACTGTTCAGACAGTAATTTGTGAAAAATAGATCACATCTATGAGGATAGGAACCACCTTGCAGGAGAGTGCCATCTTAACATGCATTTAAAATGGTATCACTTTTAGTTACAGCTTAATGCCTCTTTTTCTTTCAGGAGCTCATTAACTGTCACAAAACAGGCGAGATTATCCCAAAGGCGGACCAGCAGAAGACATGGATACTTTCTATAGAAACTGTTCTTTTGTAGTGTTGTCCAACACATATCCTTTACCTTTTTTGTGGTGTCATTTGGTTTAAAACATTCATATTTTAATGGTTCTTCTGTAGTGTAGTGAAGTTCATATCACAGTCAAATAAAAACATCTGAAACGGAAGATAAACTGGATGTACTCAATTGTAACAGGATATGCCATTGCTAACTGGCCTTCAGAGGGAGTCACTGGAAAGGCATTGAAGGGACGTTAGCGCCACCAGGTTGCCAGGGGGTGCTATACATATGGTTTAAAAGAATCATAAAGAAATATTTTTTTAAGCGGTTTGCTAGAATAGAAATGTTTTGATATATAAATATACAGATTTGTATCTATGATATTTGCATGACATAAAATTAACTATATACACTTTTCTGTATCTTTGGAATAAACCACTTGAATGGCATTATAAACTTGCTGTTTAAGTGCAACTGTAATGTAGTACTACATCAGAGGGGACATGTAGACTAATGTAGACCATATGGATTAGGCTTGTTTTGTAAATGACACTGGTAAAAGCACTGAATCTAAACGTGTTATGTAACCCCCCTGGCCTGGCGGCTAGTATTGAGAGAGAGAGATGATTTATGGTTTTGTGGATGACAGCAAGTTGGTTAACCATGTTGCTGCTGATGATGATGAGGGCTGTCGTTTCTCCTCTGTATGATCCTCTCCATCAGGGAGGAGGAACTGAGTGGAAGCAATTGAGGTGGGGGAACCAAGAGAGGATGCACGGCTGCGACCTTCCCCATCGTCCACCGGGGAGTCCATTTGCCAGGAGCTCTGGGGTTTGTAGCCACTAGCAGCCTGGGGCTCTGGAAAAGGATTGGGTGACGCTGGGCCTGTGTCATCACTAGGGACTCTAGATTGCATCTGGGGCCGGTAACCTCCCCCTCCTCCTGCACAGAAGGATGGGTCAGCCTGGGGTTGGTGGCCCTCAGAAGAGCCCTGAGGATCTAGCTGGAAGACAAAAGAAGACCCTGATGTCTGGATCCCCGTGTATGTCACATCGGTGCGTGCTGAATCTAAAGAGGAGGCGGAAGAATCAGAGGAGTCTGGGTAACGTGGTCTTATGGGCCGCTCATCTACTACTTGGTTGTAGTAGCGTAATGACGTTGGCTCATCTGTGTCAACTAGCTCGTCTCCTATCCCCTGACCATCTTCATCCTCATCTTCTTCAGGAATGACAACGAGCGCTTCTTTACTAGAATCCCACTCAGGCCTTTCTACCATATGGACCAAACTGTGGTGAGGAGGCTTCACATCCAACGGTGCCTGTGAGACAAGAATCATTATTTTAAACACTTCATTAGTTACACAGGAGAAAACTGCCTATCAGGAACATACAAAAATGGTCAATAGTTATATATATAGAATTATTTTAGTGGTAAGGGTCAGATGAGTTAGACTGATAATGTACCTGTGACCTGGACCAATCACCAGGCAGCTTGGGCTCAGGTATGTCTGGATAGAACGCCTTTTTCACCCTGGTGACAAGCAAATATTTTCACTTTAAAAAAACATTTTCATTACATTTTTACAAATTAAAATAGTACCTCCTCATAGAGAATTTTCAAAACAGTTCTAAAAGTTATTGCTGCTGGATATTTGCTACAATATTTATAAATCACACATGAAAGAGACCACAGGATATAGCTTAACATTCTCACCATTTCCGTTTCTTGTAGCATAAAAAGGTGACAATGACCAGGAATAAGGCTGTGATTCCCAAGGAAGCCAAGATTTCCAGAATCAGCCAATCAGCTGTCAGGACAAGACAGTAGAGTTATTAGAGATATTAGAACTAAAGCAAGATTACATTCTTCCTACTTTGGAATATAACTCACAGTGTGTTCACTTGTTAATATTTATTTGTACAAAATCCGTTTGTACATGCAACTTTTGTAATAGTTGTAGAATAAACACAAATGTAAATGACCAGTTAAAAGTTATTCAAATATAACTATACATGAACTTACTGAATGGCTCCAGCATTATGGAGGCAGTGGCACCCGTGTCCTCTCCTGCTGAGGTGTAGGCCTTGACAGTAAATTTATAGGAGCCTTCAGAAAGACCATTGACTGTGTAGCTCCTGCTTCCTGGGTCTGACAGGTTGGCTGTGTAAAGCACAT